AGCTTTTGTGCAAGTAGAGGAGATGAGGCTTGCGTGCTAAAAGGAGAAGAGTAGCAGCTGCGGCGCCGATGTCGAGCGAAGGAGGCGGCTAGTGTAGAGGCTCAAATTTGAGCAATCGAGTTTAAGGAAGCTTCGTTCAGAAAAGAGGAGACGAGAAGCAAACAAATCCTTTTGTCACGTGCCCTAGCAAGTCATTGAAGAAGTAAAGGGAGATCCCTCTGGCAACAGAAAGAGATAAGAGTGGTTTATTTATCAAGTGACAAATAATAAAAATAATAGTAATATATTATTGAATAAAAAAATAATCACGAAATAATGAAAATTTATTAAAATTGTAATAATATAATAAATTAATTAAATTTTAATATGAGTATCATGCTTATTTTAGGCTTTTAATTTTAGAGGAGTCAACACCAAAACAAATCAAATAACAAATTAATCGATATTGAGATGAGCACTTATATTCATATATAATGGTAATATGTTGCTTATTATAGACCAAATGCGTTTACTAGTACTATCATTAGTTATATTAAAATAATTGTAAATTTGAGATTTTGAATTCTAGTAAATTTTTATTCATATTGTAGAAATGATGTGTGGCGTTATAATTTAAATTATCATTTGAATGATTTATACGTATATTGTTTGATAGTCAAATGAGAATGAAATATATTTTTAATATATAGTAGTTTTCATAGAATGTTTGTATGTGCATGACTAATTATGATGGAGTCACCCCTTTATGGTACTTGCGGGGGAACGCTAAAATACTTTTGCACGTAAATAAAAAAAATATTAATATTGAAATATCTTAAATGATACAATTTTTAGACGGTACTTCTGTGACTGTTGTAAAGATATAGAATTATATTAGTATGTTATTGATATAATAAGATTCATTGAATAATATCTAAAATGTTTATATTGATTTATTAAAAAATTTAACTTGCGTGCATATCACTTTCTTTTTTGATTATGAATCTGTAGTATAGGAGTATAAGTATTCACCAGCTTGTTTAGTTCATTGTTATTTTAAACCAACTTTCAGATTAACCAAGTAATTAAAAGATGAGCGATAAAGATAATGTTTTTAGAAGACATAGACAACCATTACCATGATAAATTAAATTATGATGATTTAGTTTAACTTAGTGGTTCTTTCATTTGTTAAATAGTAATTGAATATATAAAATAAAAACAAAAAAATTTAATTCCAATCGTCACCGACTATTCCTGCCTTGGTTGATTACAAGCCCTAGGTTGCATCATGATACTCCAGATAAAATTCTCACTGATCTTTCACCTCATGTTCAGTCTACGACATCTTCAAGTTCTGAGTCTTCTGATCATGAATCTAAGACTAAATCCAATCTTAAGTCAAATTAGTGTTCCCATGATTGCTTTTAAGGAGAAAAGGTCTTGCATCCAATACTCATTGTCTCATTACGTGCATATGAAAGCCTCTCAACCACATTTTATGCTTTTACCCCATAATTATCTAGGGAATGCCCTGAAAGATCCGAAGTAGAAGGTCGTTGTCTTCTAAAAGATGAAAAGTCTTGAAAAAAAATGGCAAACACTGATGCAAGCTGGGTAGGATTAGTAATTAACAGGAGATCGACTTTGGATATTGTACATATGTTTGGGGAAATATGGTTACATAATGTGGTTGTGAAGAGTAGTATCGAGGCATAATATACGGCTATGGCTAATAGAGTATGTAAGATGTTATGTTTGAAGAGAATTCTTGAAGACTTGCAGATCAAGGTCAACATGCCAATGAAGTTGTCCTATGATAATAAAGCAGCCATAAGATTTGCTGCAAATAAAGTGCAACATGACCCTGCAAAGTATGTGGAGATTGTACAAAACATGTGAAAATTGAAAGGCACTTCATAAAAGAAAATTGATTATGGAGCTATTTGCATGTCGTTTATTCCTATTATTCAACAAATAACAGATATCAGCTTGAAAGTTTTTTTTTTTCAAGAACCTATTTGCAAGCAAGTTGGGCAAGATAGATACTTATGTATCTATCATGACCCGACCCGGGGATTTGAAATTACCAAGACAGAAACTGACGGTCGGATGGAGAAAATAAATTTTACAGTTTCATTTCATAATCAAATAAAATCCATCAAAGCACAAAAGAGTCATTCTAATTCATAAAATTTAATTTTACAACATTTGATTAATATTTGAACTTCTAAATTTAAGATAAAATAAAGTTGAATTATTATACCTATCATCCCGCGCTCATCGACGCTTGTACATAGAATTTCTAGAGTTCATCTAGTCTATAACTTCCTTTTTTGTAAAAATGTAAATAACTTACGTGTTGAGCTAAATTACTCGGTGGGTAAATGACTCTAAATTACAATAATTCTCATATTAAAATACTTTGTAAAAATTACACTGAACAGTAAAAGAAAACTGTTAAGAAAACATTTTCATTTCATTTTATTCATTTACATTATACTTTTTATTATTGAGAGTTACCATCTAAACATATATTTTATAAAAATAAACGTTTAATCTTTTACAACCCAACATAAAGGTAGACATCTACTTCTATTTCTATTTCGTGCACGGGTACATTGTATTCTCTTGTCAGTATTGATATGACATCAACAAATTCTAATCATCTGATTCGAATCTCAATACATGACACGAATCTCGATGCAATTTTTTAGAAAGAAATATTTAAAATTTGATTAAATGTCAGCAAATGCACAAATTTCAAAAAACTTATAGTCAAATTGACCCCAGGTCGACGAGACAAACCCAATGGTAAAGAAGAGGAAATTAGAGAAAAATTTCAGGTGTGAAAACTTATTTTAATATATAATTATTCTACCTAATTCATTATAAATAATGTTCAAGAAAATATTAGGAAAATAATATAATAAGAAATTTAGAAAATTAATTTAATTTAATTATGATACATAACTATAAGTATTACAATAAATTGCTAGAATAGTTAATATTTAAAAAGTCATATTAATTAAGTACTTATGTTAAATTTATAATGAAAATTTGATTTTATACATATATCATAGAGGCTAATTAAAAAATCAATATATTTCTATAAGCGCACCCCAAATTCTAGACTAATTAAGGAAATGAACAACAAACTTCAGACGACATTATAAAGGTGGGTAATATGTTTTTACTTTTCTATTGAGTTACAAATGTTTTTACTATTTCTCAGCTTTTATTTTTAAAAAGAAAAACTCATGTTTCTTTTAAATGTTTAATGCAAGAAAACACTGAATAAAATATGTATATGCATGCATATGAGAGCGCTCCTTGATGGTATTGACTGGGGAATACAATGTACCTGCACACAAAATGAAAATGGATGTCTACCGTTATGATGGGTTAGAAAATGCTAAACATATCTTTTTATAAAGTATACGTTTAAACGATGACTCCCAATAATAAAAAGTATAATTTAAATGAATGAAAGGAAATGAAAAATGTTTTCTTTACCATTTTATTTTACCTCACATTCATTTTTATTGTTTGGTGTAATTTTTACAAAATATTTCAATATAAGAATTATTGTAATTTAGAACAATTTACCTATTGAGTAATTTAACCTAACCCAAAAGTTTTTTACATTTTTACAGAAAATCAAGTTACAGACTAGATGAACCACAGAGTTTCTGTTTACAGGCGCCGATGAGAGCTAGATGATAGGTATTATAGTTTAACTTTATTTTATGTTAAATGTTAAAAATTTAAATATGAATCAAATTTTATAAAATTAAGTTTTATAAATTAGAATAACTCTTTTGTTCTTTGGTGGATTTTATTTGATTATGAAATGAAACTATAAAATAAGTTTGCTCCGTCTACAGTTCCCCCCATGGTAATTCCAAGCCCCCGGGTCTCAGGTCGTGACGCTTCAACTTGAGGAGGTGTTGAAATTTTAGAAAGTTTTATTTTTAATATTTGCCTTTTAGTATTCCTATTTAACTTATTGTTGGTAAGTTGCAATTTTTATTTCTTGATTTCAGCATAAGGAGATGTGATGTTTTGCCTAATTTGGAAGCCTTCCAACTTTTTATCTTGTAACGTTTCAGGTTGAATTGAAGAGAAATAATTATTCTTGTTCTCCCAAACCCTACATTAATTATAAACATTTTGTGAAATATCAAATATATCCATAATTTTTACAACTTGAATGCATTTTAATTATTTTCAGCTGGGCCTATTTCATCTCGGCTAGAATTTAAATCACGTAAGTTAATTTTGATCCATTAAGTTGGCTCGAATCAATTCTTTTAGAGTCATGTCCATTAAAATCAAATGGTTATCCAATTTTGAGTTGATTCAAGTCAATTAGCATTCAAACATTTGGAGTTCAACCCAGGCCCAGCAAGCTCAAACTTGATTAGATATCAGCCCTAATAACTCAATAAAAGTTTAAAATAATATCATCTAACAACATCATAGAAGATTCTGATATACATGTGTCTGATCAAACTTAAGCTATATGCCTATGCACCCTCTATCATTCGGATAGCATACTGTCGATCGCTTTGAAGACAAAAACGGAAGTCCGCATAGTTCTAGAGAAAAACATAAGCATTGATTCTTACATTCAACTAAGGAAACAATTAATTTATCCTTAAACAAGAAATGTAGCAATAACAGTATAAAAGTTAAAAATTAAGATCATGTAGCACCTTTCTAAAATATTCTAATTTTCACATCAAGCTTTTGCTGGTCCCACACCAAGTTCTAAGAGGAAAACATCACCAAGTTGATAGAAAACAAATGGCAGTCACCGAGGGACTGTTAGCATTCATTCACACAGCAAAGTATTCTTTGGCACTCATGATGATACCAAGCATGAAACAGGGATTAGAAAAAATGATTATATTGAGTTTGCGGACTACTTTAAAATATATTTGCCCCTCATGGATAGATTGATGTTGTACAACTCACAATAAAAAAAAAACAAAAAATGCGTATTTTAAAATAATTACCAAGAAGAAGACTATCCGACCAGGAAGATATCCACTGATGTTGTTCACCTGCACGCCATAAGTATAAAAAATATTAAGAAAAAGAAGATTACAAAAATGCCATGTGAACAAGGGAAGCATGATAGGAACTTGATAAAGGCTTCAAGGAATAAGAGTCCTTCAAGCAGATTTATACAAGTTTGTAATTGCAACCTGACATTAATAATTATCATTATGATCTTCATAAAAATGAAATTTAAACTATATGTTTGATATAAAGAAAAAAAAATGCTAAAGATCTAGTGCAGTGATGTTACAAGAAAAAAAAAACACTAACCATAGACATGGTCATAGAACAAAAGTCAGCCATCGAATCCTTTTTTTTTATTTAAGATTGCCTCCGCTGTGATATGGAGGTTGCCGGTTCAATATATATAAACAATTCCTCCACAGCACGGCAGTAAGGTTGCATGCATCAAACCCTCCACAAAATCCACATAGGCATAACGCCTCAGGCACTAGATATACCCTTTTTTTACAATTTATGGTCACAAGTTTACCAATAATGCCCATTCCTAAAGGAAGGTCCTAGTGAATTCCCAAGTAATATGATAATTTGATCCTTGCAATAAAAGTTCTTCAGTCAGTAATAACTTAAAAGGTATAGCCCTTAGCTTTCCAAAGAGCTGGTGTAGGTTCAAATCTTACAAAAATTTACATAATTTAAAACAATTTCAGCAGGGTACAAATAAAACTGATTATCTAGACTGCCCGAGTTCATTGTAAATGCACGAAAAGCAACCCATGTCAGGAGCAATTTCCTCTTCCACGCCAGTCAGAACCTACGCTAGCTGAAGGTTGATCCCAAATATCTTATTTGATAGTAAATGGATAGATATTAGCTTGGTGTCATGTAAGATCCGGTAGAAATTGAAGATTTGGAAGCAGAAAATATAAATCCAAATCGACATCCAATGTTCATTTGATTATTATAACAATAAATAAAGATACTAGGCCATTAAAATCAAGTTTGAAGGAAACAAAAAAAAAAAAAGGGACAGCAATAATACTGTGTTATCACTCCAAAGGGAACACAAATCATCCAGCGGATTATTAAAAGCAATGTACCAAGTTTATAGCAAGCATTGTCCTTCATGGAAATATCATTAACCTAAATAATAAGCAAAAATTTTATAGACTAAAAAATGAAAGAGTTAAAATGTAATTATAAACAATGCTTAAATTACAATCAAAATGTGATTCACTGAGGCCTTGCAAGAGGTCATGATTGCTACTATAAAGAAAATCATTCTGAGTAAATTACAAAGAATTCGAACAGAATATAAGTTTTATTTCTATAACTCCCACTAAATAACCTCAAAAAGTACTCATATACAAGATAGCATCGGCTATAGTTCTGCAAAATATTAGACGACCCACTTCCCACTCCAACAGCCCACATGCTAGCAATGACAAAAGAATGTATCAGAGTTAACCCAAACAAATATTAATTACGGAATTCAAAAGTTACAATGACTACTCCACATAAAACAACACAAATAGGGAAACCATAAGTAACGACAACTCTGTTAAATAAAAAAGGAAAGCATCACAAGACACAGAAACAACCTATCTAGGGACGAACGGCGGATCCGGAAGGGTAGGAAGCATTGCGGCGGATTAGACAGCCATTGGAAGATCATTGTGGGGAACTGGACAGCCGGTGGAAGGTGTTTGCGGTGGATTGGACAGCAGCTGGAGGAGTTGCGGTGGGTTGGAAGAAAGCAGTGGATTGTTGCGGCAACCTAGGAAGAGATAGAGGGGTTGGCGAGCGAACAAGCAGGAGGGAAGGTGAAGAAGGTGGCCATCGGTGACAGAATTGGTGCCGGAGATGCCAGGTTACAGCTGGAAGGGCTGCGAGGACGAATGGCGGCAACAGGGGAGGCGATTGGAGGATGGGTTGCAGCAGAGAAGAGGTATTACGGAAGGAATAAATATCATGGCGGCGTCGAGCTACAACTAGAGCACCACCTAAAACTTTGGAGACGGTCACCACCTTGGACGAGTTACAGCCGGAACACCTCAATGTCGGTTATAGCCCTCAGAAGTGAGAAGCGCCTCAAAATCTGGAATCATCAAAACTAAATCTAAAGCACTCAAACAACACATATATAATAGTTGCTAGTAGTTATGAAAGGAAGGAATAAAATTGGAAAGAAATAGAAACAGAAAAAGTAGTATAATAGGAAAAGGCTAGGATAGGAAAGGGAGGTGGGGAAGGAGAGTGATAGATAAGGGCAAGAAATCAAATATGATAAAAAAGGTCCATGGTACCGTAGTTGTTACAACTACAGTACCGCGACACAAGCTCTTGTGTTAATCTCTTGGGGTTGGGGGAGCTTCGACTTCATCTGTCAAAGCTTCTGGTTTTCTGTCAGTCATTATAGTAGCACTTGAATCCCACTAGCCACTGCATCTTCCCCCAAAACACTAAATAAATTTTCTCCACTTGCAAGCGTACATCCACAACGCGCTTCAAGGAATCTACTACTGAACGAAACTGAATCTGTGTGCCTCGCCTTCACAACTTAATACTCCCAAAGTCATCCACGGTTGGCTTAACTCGATCTGAAGTGGGGGTAACATGAACCTCCCCACACAGTGGTGGCGCTGGTGGTAAGTTATTGACCCTGATATCCTGAGATGTCCTCAGTTATGCCTGTCCCATGTCTAGAGCTAGTGTCAAAGTACTATCATCCTCTGTTGTTACCAAAAATGGTCCCACCAATGCTGCTGTATTGGAAAGGGCTCATGTGATCTCAGCCTCCGCCGAGGGAAGTACGACTATGTGCTTCCCATCCTTTGTGAAGGAATATATGTTTCTGAATTCTTTGTACTGATTCTTCAGGTCAAATTGCCATGGTTTTCCCAACAAAATGTGGCAGATATCTATGAGGACTACATCACACCACAACAGATTCTATAGTTGGTACTCGATTAAAAATTCCACTATCACCTCCGGTCAATGCTGACTCTATTCTCCTTCTTCAACCACATTAGGGAATATTATTAGGTGTGTCTCTAGGTCATAAGTCCCAACTTCTCTACTATATGTGTAGATGTCATATTCTTATTGCTCCCCATCAATGATGAACTGCATGCATTTTCATTCACCGTTCAATGAGTGTAGAAGATATTATGGCGAAGCTACTGCGGATCCCTCGTGTCCTCAACCTATAGGATTCATCCAATCACAAGTGTTTCTCCTTCATCTGGCAACAGATGGTACATTTCACCCTGTTCCTCAACCTTCTCTTCATTGCTAACCTCCTCCATGGAGCCCTGCTCGGTAAAAGAAACGACTTGACTTGTAGGGTAGTTGGAGACAACATGCCCAAATACATGGCATTTGAAACAATTTCTGGTGAGGATTGTAGCAGGCATGATACCTTTCTCAGATTTCTTATGACTAAGGGTGGCCCTATACTCTTTCAATCAGCTTTCACAACTCCCTGAGATGCGTCCTGTTGGTATCTCCAACTATGGATGGTAGCCTGGCTAAAGGTGATTGTCTATTCTGTTTCTGTTGTCTCTCTACTTTCAATGCTAAAGCTTGGACATCTCTAAGTGATGAATGAGGCTGCAACTGCACCTCGTAGCTAATAGCGAGCTACAGGCCCCTCAGATAACGGATTATGGTATGCTCCCAAGGCTTGACCAATCACACTCATCTGCAACTATTCAAACTGCTCCGTAAACTCCTCTACTGACAGATCCTTCTGTTGCAGGTGGTGGAGTCTCAGAAGCAAATCCTGACAGTAATGGAGTGAGAGATATTTCTTCTGCAACGCTTTCTTTATCTTTTCCAAACTGGTAATCTTATCACTGCCTTCTCGTATTTTTTGTCTCTGGAAGTTCTACCCTCATAAGGAGGTGTTCTTTTTCAAATTTATGGCAACCAACTTTACTCACTTATACTCTGGCTTATTCTTTTATTCAAAGATTCACTCCACTAATTGTAGTCAGTCAATAAAATTATCAGGTTCCATGCCTTCCTAAAACTCTGGCAGATCCATTTTGATGTCGAAACCATTGTAATTTCCATATGTGAGTTGATGTAGGGTGTTGAAGTCCCAGAAGTCCCTTCGATCCTCTGGCACCTCTCTCGACCTCCGCTGATAATGAATCCTGAAGCGGCGTGGCCAGTATTCCTCGTGCTAATGTATTCTTTATGAAACCAATTCAGATCCTCGTCTCTGTCTCCTCTTTTGACTCTCCAATTCTCGGTAGAGGGTCATCTCTCCTTAGGCCTCGTCATCCCATTCAGCTAGTCACCGTTCCAGACGATGGATTTCTCGTTGTATCTTGTCCTAGGTAGATTCCAACACGTATCTTCGTAGTGTCATGATTAGCGTTTGAGCTTGGGAGTTGGGTTGAAGGTGGGAAATTAGCGAAAGAGGGAAGAAAAGAGAAGAAAGAAATTTATTATGGAGGTGGTGTGGGTGGGGCGGATGCTAGAGAGCACTAGGATATGACTATGGTTGATCTAGCTCTAATATCAAATGATACTGGAGTTAACATAAACCACGACCCAACGAAAAATTGTTATTATTGCAGAATTCCAAAGTTACAGCGACAACTCCTCAACATAAAATAACATAAGCAGGGAAACTGTAAATAACGACGATTCTGTATAATAAAAAATAAATACATCACAAAACAGAGAAACAACCCTCTCTAGGGACGAGCAGCAAATCCGGAAGGGTAGGCAGTGTTGTAGTGGATTGGGCAGCCAATGGAAGATGATGTCGGGGCACTGGATAGCTGGTGGAAGTTGTTTGCGGTGGATTCGACAATAGCTAGAGGAGTTTCGGTGGGTTGGAAGAGAGCAGTGGGTTGTTGCGACAACCTAGGAAGAGCTGGAGGGGTTGTCAGTAGCTAGATAGCTGATGGAGGCGGCGAACCAGCAGCAGGAAAGGTGAACAGGGTGGTCAACAGTGACAGAATTGGCGTTGGAGATTTTGAGTGACAACAGGAAGGCTGCAAGGAGGAAGGGTGACAGCGGGGGATGCAGTTGGAGGATCGGCGACAGTAGGGAAGAGACATTACAAAAGGATAAATATATCAGCAGGGTCAAGCTACAGCCAAAGCACCACACAGACCCTTGGAGACAGTCACCACCTTGGACGTGTTACAGCCTAAGCACCTCCTCAACTGCAAATACAATCTGAGAGAAGCGCCTCAAAGGCAGCAAGCTAAAATTTGGAATCGTCAAAATTAATTCTAAAGCACTCAAACAACACATATATAATAGTTATTAGTAGTTACGAAAAGAAGAAATAAGAATTGGAAAGAAATAAAAATAGGAAAAGTAATATAATAGGAAAAGGCTATGATAGGAAAGGGAGTTGGGCAAGGGAAGTGATAAAAACAACAAGGAATCAAATAAGATTAAATAGGTCCGCAATATTGTAGCAGCTACAATATCGCGACCAAAGGTCCCATGTCACCTACCAAATGTAGGACTTGAATTAGGGGTAATATACAAATACTTAATTGTCAACAAGCAAAACTTTTTAAGGACGATGAAGACAAAGGTGGTATAGGGTAAGGATTCAGTGCTTAGCCAAAAAAATAAAAAAATATATATATACTTTAAGAAGATAGAAAAATGTAATTCGTCACTGTAACAAAATCTATACAAAATACTTTACCAGCCTATATAAAAGCATGTGCTTGCATATTTGCAATAATATCTCATCATACTCTTAAGAGATCATATCTTTAACAAAGAAGGATTAAACTTAAAAATTTTACTTGAATAAAAACGAAAAAGGTACGATCAATGCAATATTATTTCAACTAAGGGATGGGGCAAAGGCGCAATTACTTGTATCTGCCCGTCATTTCCACCGACCATGTCAATCATCTTTACATAGGAACCTTCTTCAACTGGCTCATAGACCTGTTTGATAACACTAAAAAAATTGCAAAACTAAAAAATATGTAGAGCAAAAGAATATTAAGTGTGCAAACAGCTTGTGACCTTTTCATAATTGGCTAGTCGTTTCTTAAAGTCCTGCATTCCAGCTTCAAAATCAGTCCTGAAGCAAACGGAAAACAACTTAATATCCTAGACATTTTTGGAAGAAGTCCTACCAGCAAGAATGATAAAAAATTTTGACGAAGCAACATACTCTTCTGCATAATCAGGGCTTTGTTGGATTTTGAGTCGAATATTCCTTTCAATTATGCGTTCATCATTACAAATTGTCTCCAAAAATATAATCTGGAAATTGATAAAGAGATAGTTATTCACAAAAAGTTCAATATAATAACAAAGAAGAAATAAATCATGTAGTGGAAGAGTAAATGGGAATGGGACATTGTTTCTGATCAAAAAAATTAAAAGCAATTTTTTTTTACCAAGGAAGAAAATAACATTGAAAGATGAATATAATAATAGATTACCAAGGCTAGGTAAAGTTTCTCGCAAAAGTCCGTACCCAGATAATGGCAGAGATGACTTAGTTGATTCAGGAGATCAGATAACAGTCTATTGAAAGTGATACAATTACTGCAGATAAATATATAAAGATATATTGAAGATTCAATTGAAGCAGAAAATTGATTGATGTGAATTGAGAAGATATTAGATAGTATGGTTTGTCCAAATGAAAGAAGAGTGTCATTAGCTACATTTGTGCTAGATGGAAAAGCTGAAAGATGGTGGCATTGGCAGCGTTAGGACAAGCTAGAGGATATGCCCAACATGATGGTAAGTTGAAAAATAATTTGTGGAGTCATTCAAAAAGCAGAAAAAATTTATCAAATTAGTTCAAGGAGAGAAAACAATCATGCACTACAAAGCAGAATTCATTGCCTTGTCAATGTATGTGCCACAGTTAATTGCCACTGCAAATGAAAAGTGCTACAAATTCTTTTCGGGATTAAACGATTCGATCAGACAACCATTGGTGCCTTTGGGGATCGATGAATACTTAGTAATGGTAGAACCAACAACAAGAGTGGAGATTGATTATCAGCTTACTCAGAAGCATAAGAAGACGCACGGGAGAAGAATTATTGATGGAGAATATGTAGATCAATCAAAAGGATCTAATGGGAATAAGTCCAAGTTCAATTCGAGTGGATTTAGTAGAGGTATGACTCTGAATACTATATTCACTTGTGCCAAATGTGGAAGATAATATAATGATGAATGTTTTATGGGCTTTAACACAAATTATTGGTTTCTTCATCCCAGTCATATAGCAAGATATTGTTCATCACTTCGCTATAAGAGCACTGAAGATCAGAAATCAAGTTGAGATCCTTCACAGAAGACTATAGGAGGGCTGAAAATAAGAGAGTCTATAGCTTCAGCTTCTACCCAAGTTCAACCAAGGCCCATTTCGAGCTCTAGTTTACTTTCTTACTTATAGTGAGCTTGAAGAACCTACTGTTGTTGATGTTGATAAAGTCTGATGAGTTTGGCATTTTCATAAATGTAAGGATGTTTTTCTAACATATTTCCTTGCTTTAGTAACAATATGGTATTTTAGATATGTTGCTATTTTGATTTTGTTAATAAGGAGATTACAACTGAGCCACCTTGTATCAAGTTTTTACTTTGCAATGATGACAATTCATCTTAGTGAATGACCCCTAGTTTTCATCATGAAATTTATGAGTAATTCATGTAGATCTGCTTAATGTGAGATAACTTATGGTCTATTCATAAATTTCGAATATGAATCTTTTGTAACTGGGGATACACCTTGTTTCATCTCCTCAAGAGAGTCAAAAGGAAGAGCACAAAGCGAGGTCTTGCAAACGCAAAGGGACGTTTTGACTTATAAACTATAGTGTATGGGAGAGATAGAGGAGAGATCGAGAGGATGATTTGCAGGGGGTCAATTAGCTCTAGGCGAAAGCAGGAGGATCGATTGGCACAAGCTAGGGCTTCCTCGCTGTTGAAGGTGGTGATTTCGACGGATGACTACATTTCGATCGTTGAGGGTAGGTGAATGTGTCGAGCTGCTCGCAGCTATGGTGCGAAGAAGAAGGAACGATTTTAGTGTGAGACGATCCTAGGCCAATGATTTCTCACGTGTTAGATGTTGGGGATGATGACGATGATGTGAGGGAAAAATTCTTTGTGCGGACTCTGGTAAGATGCATACCATTACCCGAAGTAACCAAAGTATCATCCATCAGATTCTTGAGCTCAAGTAAGTCTTCATTCTTCTTCTTCCTCCTGAATGTGTAGACCTGTCATTTCTCATCCGAAAATTGACTCATCTGATCATTGGATTCTTCCAAAGGTGGTCGAACAGGTGTAGGCTATTGCACATCATGATCCCCAAGAGCTTGAGTAATATTAACATCTTGCTCGACCTGATGAGGCGGTAGTGAAGCAGTATAAGTATTGCCACATGTAATATCAGTGATAGCTTCTAGGGCAGGTGGGTCTGAAGAATCTCCCTCGCCCCCATGATAGGAGGTTCCAAAGACAAGGGAGCTACAACATTGTGTGAAGACTAAATGATTGACATATTGTCAGTGAGGATAGTGACGTCTTCAGGGGTATCATTTTGATGATCAATAGTGTCAATAAATTGGAGCTGATAAGAAGGAGATAGATTCACTGCATCTGCGGAACACTTTACTTTTTTGGTTTGAGGTGGGGGTTATATGGTGCCATTGAGAACAAGAGTACCCAAATATATGACAGTTCGAACAGTACAAAAGAAAAGGCTCAATCACTACCTTTTGCCGATATCCATGGTGTTGTGTGCCCAACCAAATTTCCTCAAAGACGGGTGAAGAGATATCTCTTTCAATAAGTACTCTGACTCAGATGGACAAGAAAGATTAAAAGTAGGAATGTCCGTTTTGAATGGGTTACCATAAGCTGAGGCAACAGAGTACAACATTTTTTAGTAAAATAATGAAATTTCAGATCAGGGTGGCGAATCTAAACAGGAAGGATTTTCTAAACAGGAAGGATTTAACAGGAAGGATTTGTGGTTTCGTCTGTGGGTCAAAATCCACAGACCATTTCAAAATTTTCATTACTCTGTTATCAATTCAGATTATCCTTCTAGCAAATAAGTGTGTGTAATTCTCTTAATTATTAAGTTAAATAAGAATGTGTCTTCCATATAAAAGTTCAATTTTTCACTCCTAATAAGATGCATAAGGTCAAATTCTTTACGAATCAACAACATTTTGGGATGGTCAAACAAAAATTTTCCAACCAAATTCAGACAATAGGAGGAAACAAGTTGAACACTTTAAACTTCTGTAAAAAAATGGCAAAAATCTCATTATTCCTTAAGGTTTTTTTATATCCTCCGCCCACCCAAACGAAGGAGGGAAAGTTTAGGTGTACCTGAAACATGGACACCAGCAAGGGCAGCACATACTATTTGTCCGAAGTCATCCCCAATACATGGAGGTACACGTTAAGAACAATGAAGAAAGCAAAGAGCAAATTATGAATCCAGAACAGGGGAGCACGGAGCGGGATGGAGAAAAGCCCCTCTGTGAACTGCGGACGAATCAAACAAGTGAGCGGTAGCTAAGAGACGCCCCTGAGCCCGGCGACTTCTCGGACGACAACGAGCAGCAGAAGAAGCCCGCGCCCAGACGTCCTTCAAAAGCCAAAGAACTGCGAGAGGCAACTGAGACGCCCCCGAGCCCGAAGACTTCTCGTGAGAGTCACTGATTCTCGGGACGACGAACAGAAAGAGCCGCTGCAACGTGACGGCGAAAACTGGTGACGAAGACGAAGATGATGAAAGACGAAACAGTGCTTGATTGACGAAGGTGTAGTAAAGCAAAAAAACCAAGCGAACCCTCGCAAAACGAGAGCGAGGACAATAAAGCCATATATATATATATATATATGTATGGATGTAATCCCCTCCTTAGAGGACGAGGCGACGAAACAGCTTCCAACACGACGAGACGATACGATATGGAACCAGGCTACTCGAGACACAACAAAAGCACACCCTAAATAACCGCGCTGCATTCGGCTCTTTCACGTTAGCTCAAAGAATTCTGCGTCATGTGGCGTCGCTTCTTCGTCACGCGTCTTCCATTCTCAGTTGTGCCTCCTGCGGCTCTGACTTCTGCGGCTCCGTTTGTTGCACTCGCGTCCGTCCTGTGAACTACTCGCAGTCCAGACACAAGTAGCCTGTCGTTGTTCAACTCCCCTCCATGACTACTGCTCATTCTCAACCACCGACTACTTCAGTTTAAAACCTTGGGAAGGCTTCTTTTGTTGATATGGTTGGCTATATGGGATCAAATCAGGTTTTCCCTCATGTTTACCATGAATCATTTGAAGACCAGGAGGACTGCAACCTTATCAAGAAGACTGATAGGAAGAGTGGCAAGCTGACTCTATTCTTCTTTGTGCTGAAGTTTCCAACCTGGTTAACAAGTTCAAATTCACCCTCATTGAGAAGTTCCAATTAGGACATCCCAAAAAGGAAATTGTTCGAAAGGCTTTTGAAGATCTCAAACTATTGAAACTTTGGAAGATTGGTCTCTTTGATGGGAGACATGTGATGATACAATTATCTAAAGTGGAAGACTATGACAAAATATTTTCTAAAAAGTTTATGAAAATAGAGGGAAAATATATGAAACTGCTCAAGTGGTCTCCTGAATTTGACCCTAGGGTCTCACTGCTTAAGTGGTCTCCTGAATTTGACCCTAGTCAAGAACCACCTATAGTTTCAATCTGGTTTAAACTACCAGGCCTAAAGTTGCACCACTTGAACCACCAAGTCCTCTACTCTATTGGAGCTGCACTAGGGAGACCTATGAAATTGGATACACTCACCTTCAATCAAACCAGGCCTTCGGTTGTAAGAATTCTGGTTGAAAGAGATATCACTCTCCATGATGTGGACGAAATATGGCTTAATACTGCCCACAATGGATATTGGCAGCCAATTATAGCAGAACAAAGACCATACTACTGCAATCATTGTCAACCAATCACTGTAAACTATTTGGGCACACCCCTGTCAAATGCTTCAGGCTTCACCCATATTTGAGATCGGCAGGTCTTAAAAACATCATCCATGTGGGAGAAAATATAGCAGACACTGTTAATCTTTCAGAAACGTCGAATGAGAATTTGACTCATAAGGCTACTCCCCACCAACCAGACCAACAGCTTTTGTCTACTGTTGTTGAGGCAGCTTTTCCTCAGATTACAAATTTTATGAATTTTGTTGTAACAGATGCTAGCAGAAGTGTCTTGAA